GATTGATCCAAAAAAACTACCAATAATCAATCCTGAGTACTTGGATGTTGAACGTGCCTTGGCCGACATTACTCCGGAATGGACTCGCCTTACACAGAATCATGAGCTGTGTACGTATCTAGAGCAGGTTCAAAAGGTTCTTTCACGAGCGGGTCTCCGACATGGCCAATCTTTACCACCTATTGTCACAGAAATCGAACCATCGCCTGCTGCGATCTATCCTCAAAGGTCGAGATCTAATGATGATCTAACCCTTCGACATCTGCTTAAATTCCACATTCCCAGCAACACCGTGGCTAGTACAACGGCCCTTCCTGTAACTGAGTCATACGCCAGGGCTTTGAGTGTCAAATCCGGTAACATAGTCCATGGCCCGGGAAATCACTACCGCCACATGAACAATTTCAAAGATCAGAAAATGGTGCATACTCCCAGCCTTGCTCCCCAGTCGAAAGAAATCAGCATGCTTCGAGAAATAGTCGCTAGGTTCAAGGATCCCTCGTCTTTCGTCCAATGTAGGTACGCAAAGGAGCTCGAGGCGAGCATTAACGCTCTTCAAAAGCGTATGATGTATAACAAAGACGCATTTTCTCGGCAATACCATCAAATCAGGACAGATGAGATAATGTCAGCAAAAAGATCTGCATTTGCGGCGGCTGAACATATCAGACGTACACTTCGCCACAGCGACCCACAAGCAAAGTGGCTTCAGATGGTCGATCTCTGGCCAGCTATGACATTCATCGATCTACTTGGTGAACTTCGAGAGTCTTCAAAGACTGAATTTGGGGAAGGCTCGAAAGAGGCGCTCGTCGCTTTTGGCCTTGCCATGACCAAAGTACAACGTCTACTTCGCATTTTAGATGCCCAAAAGAGACATAAAGACCAACAGATACAAGATGAATGGGCGAATGAAGGCCATACCAACTGGGACCCATTGAAGTACCCTGATTGGTTGTTGTTAGAGATTGATGGTGATGTTCTCCTTCGAGAAGAGCAGGTAGATGTGGCATTGGCGACTGTTTCACCGCCGTCAGGCCAGAATTCTGTTCTGCAACTTCTCATGGGCAAGGGGAAGACCTCTTGTATCCTCCGTAAGCAATCATTATCTGTATTTTTGTCCTATTACTAACTGATTTTAGCTATGGCGGCCGCATTTCTTGCCAACGGGACAGACCTAGCCCGCGTCGTGGTACCAAGAGCGCTCTTACTACAGTCCGCACAGGCGATGCAGGTAAAACTTGGAGGCTTGGTCAATCGCGAATTGATGCATGTGCCCTTTTCTCGACGAACACCCCCAAAGGAGTCCTTGATGCATCTCTATGGAAAGCTGCACACTAAGCTACGAGATCGCCGTGGTATCCTTCTTGCATTACCTGAGCACATACTATCGTTCAAACTGAGCGGTTTACAGCAGCTTTGTGATGCAAATCTCGAAGCAGCATCTAAAATGATGGACACCCAGCGTTGGCTAGACCAGCATGCTCGGGACGTCCTGGACGAGTGTGATGTGTCCTTGGCGATACGAACACAGCTCATCTATCCTTCTGGCACCCAGATGACTGTCGATGGCCATCCGATGCGCTGGCAAGTCATTCAGGCTGTCCTCCACCTTGTCAAGGACTTTTCGACAACAGTCCAATCACGCTATCCCTACAGCATTGAGATCGTCAAGCGTGGCTTCGATGGATTTCCCCTCCTGTACTTTCTGCGCAAAAATGCCGAGGAGTACCTACTGGATCTTCTCGTCACGATCATCTGCAAAGGCCAGACACCATCGATTCTGCCATGCGCTGAATATCCTCTCGACATGCGACAAGACATTAAGGCCTACATTTCTGTTCCAACTGTCCGCGGTCATATAGTGTCCAGGATTTCTAATCAGTTTCAAGACAAGCCAAAGTTGATGCGAACCATCAATCTACTTCGTGGACTTTTTGTTCATCGTATACTGCTCACCGCGCTGAAGAAACGTTGGAACGTGCAATACGGGCTGCATCCAGTACGTGCGCCGATAGCAGTGCCATACTTGGCAAAAGGCGTACCATCTCCTACAGCTGAATGGGGCCATCCGGACGTAGCCATCACTCTGACATGCCTATCTTTCTACTACCAGGGTCTGAATATCTCTCAGTTCAAAGAGTCTTTCGAACATCTGGCCAAAACCGATGAGCCTAGCATACAATACGAGAAATGGTTTCCAAAGGGATGCGACATACCAAGGGAACTGGAAGATTATGCTGCCATCAATGCTGAAGATGTGCGACAGTTGAGCGAGCTGTATCAAGTGGTCCGGTACAGCGCGTGCTTGATCGACTTCTATCTAAACAATTTTGTTTTTCCAAAGTATGCGAAGACCTTCAAGCTGAAGCTACAAGCTTCTGGTTGGAACCTCTTCCCATCTATTGCCACAAAGAAGACTCAGACTGGAGCCCGTGTTACTGGATTCTCCGGCACCAACGATTCCAGACACCAACTGCCCCTTTTGATTCAGCAACAGGACATGGCAAAGCTGGAACATACCAACGCGGAAGTGCCTTACTATCTCCTAGCCTCTCGCAATCAGTCATATGTTCGTATGTCATCTCCAAATGGCGTGCGTTGGTCCGAATTGGATTTGTTGAAGAACCTCGCAAACCCTTCTCCTTATGCTCACTCCAACAGACATCATGGGGTGTTTTACGGAGCGAACAATCAATTTACGCTCCAACAGCAACGTCCGATTCGTATCCTTCTTGATGCCGGTGCCCAGGTGTTAGAGCATTCGAACAAGGCCTTTGCTAGAGCTTGGTTGGATGCAGACTACGAAGCAGCAGCCGCCGTCTATTTCGATGATGACCATCGTGTGTGGGTGCTGTACCGCACGAACAAGATAATTCCACTGGTAGCATCTCCATTCGCCGACAATCTTGACCGGTGCGTTGTGTACTTGGACGAAAGCCATTGTCGCGGGACTGACCTCAAATTCCCGCCTGATGCGCGGGCTGCGCTCACTCTTGGCCAACATCTAACCAAGGATGCGCTGGTACAGGCAGCCATGCGACTGCGCCTACTCGGCCAAACCCAATCAGTTTCTTTCTACTCTCCCCCAGAGGTACATCAAGGTATACTAGACCGATTGAAGGAGACTGGAAATGGCTACCATCCAACATCTGGCGATGTGCTCCAGTGGGTCTTTGGTCAGACATGCGATATCATGGAGCAATCTGAACCTTCATTCTTTGCTCAGACATCGCAGTATATGCAGCAAGAGCAAGCAAGGTTGGAACACCCCGACTACCTTGGCGACTCTGTTTCGCGAGATGCATTCCTTTCCAAAGTGCGCATCAAGGAAACGCTCTCATTGAAACAGCTTTACCAGCCAAAAGTCCAGCGCCAGAATGGTTGTTCCAAGACAAGCAAATGGCACCCGGTGTTGGAAGGCATTTCCACAGAGCTTCAGCGTCGAAAGAAGCATTTTCAAGATCGTGGAAGCGCTGTTCACGCCTCGGCCCTGGAAGAAGTAGAGATTGAGCAGGAACGTGAAGCAGAGCGTGAGATCGAGTCAGAGGTGGAACACGTGCGAGAAGTCCAACAGTCTCTGGCATACGAAGCAGCAAAAGTGAAGAAGCTTCATGACGACGTCATTCATTTTGCGACGTTTGGACGCTTAGTTGCTGGAAGCGATGCCTACCGGCCCATGTTCTCGCAGTTGGCACGCACGGAGCTAGGTCTCAAGCACACGGTCAATCCGTCTATGAAGTCAGGTCTCTGGATTTCTGCTCAGTTCAATCGCACCATTGAGACTTTTGAGCCGAACGACAATTATATTCGCTCTCCGCACTGGCTTCTTTGGAGTGCAGTTAGCGAGCAAGCTCTCCTGGTCAGTCCGGAAGAAGCAGATGAACTGATTCCGATTGTACAGCATCCTGAGTCGCTGGAAGCCGATGGCAAGGTTCATCTCATCGTGTACGCTGCACCAGTCACGCGTCGGATGCTTCACTTCAACCAACTGAACTACTACGCAACACCTCGTCTACCGACCGACTTTCGCGCCCCCGTTTGGCTCAGGATAGAGCTAGGCCTGTTCTCTGGACGTCTATACTTCGAGTGGGACGAGTACCACAAGCTACTCGAGTACCTGGGACTACGCGACGACTTATCGCAGCATCCTGAGAAACCCCCTTTTGCAACAAAGCCGCTTACCTTCCGTACGTATTTTCAAGAGTCTCTGCCTTGCCATTTGTGATACTAACTCATAATAAATAGTCCACGAATGGATCACACTCCGCCGCAAAGGTCAAGACTTCGAGCACACACCTATGGGCTTCATCACGACTGGCAAGCCGCTCACCGAGAAACATCCTTTCTTCCGCGTACTCGCGAGCGAAGACGACCCCGAACGTGTCCAGACGATTGCGCGACATGCACCAGGATATTCGGAGGAAGAGCAGGATGATGATGAGGAGCATGATGATCAGGGTGATGAGGATTTCGTCCCTGCCGCTGAGCATGTGGATGATTCGGAAGAGGAGGATGAGGAGTCCCAATCTAGTGGCGATGAAGAATTCGTGGATGCCGTGGATGGAGAGTAACGGTCATGTGTCTAATGCGGGTTTGCTTCAATACAAATTTGTACTTGTAGTTTAGTATGGGTGGGAGAATGTAACAAGGGTTCCGGAAAGGTTTCGTGACATTTTTGACGTACTCTCGTTCTATGGCTGTGCATATGAAGGAACATTGACCGAGGCTGCGTTGAGGTGTTAATCCATGGCAAAGAGCAATGTGCCTGAGCATACTTGTCCTGCATGATCGCACCGGGACCAGTAACCCATCAATACCAGAACCATCGTATCCAAGAAATTCCATGTCATCAATTAAATACTATACACATAAAAAAATGCCATCATCAAGAAACCTAGAACCCAAACTATCCCCCCAATCCCCCCTAGAGAAAATAAGAACAAAGAAAAGAAAAACCCCTCACCACCATCACCATCCTCAACACAGAGTATGGGCATTCAAGGCACATATGGCGGCGGCGCCACATCCCTCTCCCCCAACTCCGTCGAAACAGTCGGCGCATAATGCGGCCTGTCGTGCTCCCCCTCCCTTCTGTACCCATACCTCTCCCACCCCTCCACATCCTCTGCCGTAGCCATTTCGTACGTCAACCCCGGCGACGTAGCCGTTGCGCCAAACGCCGGCGTTGACATTGAGTATCCCGCGTTGCTATATACACCCCCTCCTACTCCGTGTCCTCCGTGCCCTCCAGCAGAAGCAGGTTGGATAGGTTCTTCTTCGCGCACATCGTGTGGCCGGTAGCCGTTTGCGATGGGCATGCGGGAGAGGGTGGCGAAGGAGTCGGTGCGTTGGAGGGAGGGCTGGATTATTATTTGGGGTTTTCGCTCGGGGACCGGGCGGCGCGGGATGGTGAAGCTGTGGGGTTGTGGGGGAAGTTGGGGGCGCTGGTGTGCGGGGAGAGGTGGTGCGTGTTGGTGATGCTGGAAGTCCTGGGGAGGAAGGGTTTGGGGGGTGTAGAGTTGGGGGCGGGGTTGGGGTGCTATTGCGTAGCAGGCGTATTTTTGGTTGGGGAGGGCGGGTTGGTGGTGTTGGGGGGGTTGTGATGGGTGTTGGATAGTGTGTTGTTGATAGTAGTGTTGTTGCTGCTGCTGCTGCTGTTTCGAGCAGATTGCACCGGGAAAGGTGTGATGTCTTTTTTGCTGAGCATCGTTTTCAGCGGTGTTTGCTTGGTTCTTTTTGCGGTAGTGCCGGTGGATTAGGTAGCCGCCTGCGACTATCTCGAGGCCGCCGAAGATCATGGCTGTGGGGTGAATTGGTACCGGGTAGGGTACGCTTGGTAGGGAAGAAAAAGCAGGGCTAGGGAGGGTAGCTGGAACTGTGGAAGAGGATGCTTGCTAGGCAAGAGGTAAAATAGGTGACTGAGGCCATGACCGTGGGCTTTGTGCTCAGCCTCTTTCTGTCACACGGGTTGTGGAAGCTATTGGGTGCCGCAGCTCCGAGCGTGGTGGCGGAGTCGAAGAGGTGCAGTTGCGATAGCCAATCAGCGCATGGCGCATACTTTGCCCTATCCACATGCAGCCAACGCCCTCTGCCTCATCGCCTTGTCAACAATCAACCAGACTACTGTCCAAAAGAGCTCCATTGGAATCATCGTGTGTTTCATCTCTCTCCAATCGGCTTTGCAACTTCATACAACAGTCAGACAATCACGCCTTGTCTTCTTCTCAGATATATGATGCATCGATATCTACATGAACCGTAGCGCCCTGCCTAACAAACCCCTCCCTAGTCAGCTGCCCGAGTTACATGACGTGATATTGTTTGAAGATCACTAACAAATACCTACTAGGGATACCAAAGAATATCCTGGTAGTTCATACATCACTCCATTGGCTCCACTTCACACTGCCAGTACCGATAAGAAGATCTAGCAAATGACGAGAGCACAACCAAGCGGTCAGCTCTTATCCAAGACTCGCAATGCAATGATTAATTGAAAATAGGCATGATACTTGTGCTGGACTAGCAGGCATCTATTCGACGTAATTGATATGGTGCTCTACTTCTCCAATCACTTTTCCTACCTCATCTTGCACATGATACATAAATCCGAATGTAGTCTCTTGCATATGGAGCTTGCCCTTTGATGGCTAGAAGTAAACCCTGGCTCTATACCGGCACATTCATTAGATAGATGTGTTCCGATGCTTCCACTCCGTGGACCAAAACAGCCGGATAACAATTCACGTCGAACGTCGATCCAAATCACTGCTACAATCATCATAAAGAGCGATATAGATTCTATACAATATTCCAGGTCTCTCATAGAATAAGGCATGGTTTATTTGCCTAATTTTCAATAGCTAAGCAGTGTGTGGTGTGATCGTTATAGCGTGGTTGCACTGTTGTGATACCAGACGCAGTTTTTATCCGGCTATTTTGGTCCACCAAGAACATCTATCACAAGTACTCGCACTCAAACCCCGTATTTCTTTTCATTGTAAGTGGCAGTTGATCAAGATGCTGAGACATCTACCACGATATCGTAGCCACGTGCGAACCATGTCGATCAATTCGTAGGAGTGTTGCGAGATTTCGTCGCGAAAAGTGTGCCAAAGAAGCAGTGAATTCTCAGTCAACATCTCCATCGTGATTCTTGTGTAGAAACTGATGAGGCAGATAGTGGTCCTGATCAGATCCAATGTTTCCTTGTGTGCAAAGAGTGTTGGGTGAGACTGAGACAGTCATGCAGGACCACTGGGTACATCTCAACGCTGTACATGGTAACAACATAGTATCAGATATGGAAGGACGAACTTGGTAAACATTCAATTCGTTAAGTCATTAGGGAGCCAATGTGCTACCAAGGTACTGCACCAGGCAAGTATATTCACGTCGAAGTAACCTTTCCACCCTCGAGATCCCCGCTTTGCTCGATTCTAGCCAAGGGCGGTGGCTCTTGGTTCAATTTGGTTCTCTTGATTCCAAACGATACCAAAAGTCCCAACGCACCAACAACCGTGTACAAGATCCACACTCTCCTCAACGGACCCATGAAGCTTTGATGAACAACTTCCTTCTGAGCCGTAGTAAGGTCGCCAATTTGGACACCTTGGGAGATCGCTTCTCCACTAACTAGTTTAGTGGCAAACTCTGTAGAGATACCACTGTCGACAAGTCTCTGGAAATTGGGCACTGTCAGATACTGAAAGATGACCTGGCTCAGAACTAGACCGATAGCGCCCGAAATCATGCGGACGAAACCAAAAGCCGCCGTACCAGTAGCCATGTCGCTATCTTGTATTTGTGTTTGCAAGGCGATAAGCGGAGCTGCGAAGTTGGGACCAAAACCGAGCCCAATGACGGCCAAGATGCCAATGACTTTCCCGAGATCGAACGACGCGTCGAAAATGATAAGAAGACCGACACCAAGAGTCATCAAGAACAGTCCAATCTGAAGCACTTCGATGAAGCGACCGATTTTCTCAATGATCCATCCTGATGTCAAGGATACAATTGCTAGCGGTATCGCGACGGCAAGCATCAAGAGTCCAGTCGCTGCCGGACTCATTTCGAGGACGATTTGGAAGTAAAGCGGCAAGAAGTATGCTACTGAGTTGAATACCAAAGCATCGCATGCACAGACACCCAGTGCACTGAGGTTGCTGATGTCTCTGAATATGCGCAGGGGCATGATGGGGCTGCCACCGCGTTTGTCCTCCCACCATTGGGAGAACGGAAAAGCCATAAAGATGGCTGATCCAAGGACTATTAGTGAGATAACCATCGGGTTGGCATACGAGCCACCGCTACCCATCTGAAGACCGACCAGCAATAGGACGGCAGCAGTGATGATAGTAGTTATGCCAAGCCAATCGACAGAGGCAAGGCCCTGAAGGAGTGGCGTTCTGGGATCGTGGAGTTCAAGAGTGAAGTAGAGCACAATGATTGAGATCGTAACAATCGGTATGTTGATGTAGAAACACCACTTCCAGCTCAACTCTTCGGCAAATATACCGCCGAGTACGGGACCCAGAGCAGAGGCGAGTGCCCAGGCTGCTCCGACCATGCCCATGTAGAAGGATCGGTTGCGAATTGAAAACAAGTCACTGACACACACGTGTACCAGTACCACGACTCCACCGCCACCAAGGCCCTGGACAGCTCGTCCTGCAACCAGCATGGGGGCATTGATGCTCACTCCGCAGACGATGCTGCCGCCCAAGAAGATGGAGTTCGCGATGAGCAAAACAGATTTTCTTCCAAAGACATCCGACAGTTTACCCCAGAATGGTATCGACGCGGCATTGGTGAGCAGGTAGGCGGATCCAGTCCAGGCATAAAGTGAATCTGGAATTTGGAAAGATTGCGATATGGTTGGCAGGGCGGTAGGTATGAGAACCGTGTCAAGAGCTACCAGAAATAGCGAAAGAGTAAGCGCGACAAATGCTGCCATTATCCGGAACGGCGTTCGACTGTCAGAGGCTGCTGGATTTTTGCTTACGACCGATGAGCGTTGACTGTCGGCTGCAGGTTGCTGCTCATTCTCTTTTATGCTTGTCTCATCCTTTTTGGACTGTATCGGAATAATTTCCACTGTACTCGTAGCATCATTTTGCGAATGGCTCGTATGCCCCGTCTGCGATATCAGTTCCAGCGCGTCAGCTAGACTTGGATCCACAGTGGGCGTCTTAAGCATGGCGGCGAATGCTCAAAACTGTAGCGTAAACGTGACTTTCTTTATCACGCATCCGTCGTATGCGAGCAACTTGGGTATTTGTAGTCAGCCAAGGGCATACCTTGTAACCAGTCTATATCCGTTTCCAGCGCCACCTCATGTCATGATGGAGACCAATCAGCCATGCCAGCCATCAACAACCTTGGACCCCACCTATCTGCGTTTTATGAGCTCTCATACGTCTCCGGCATGAATGCTTGCTGCAGACTGAATTAGTGTATGTTGAAATTGACGAGTAGCATAAGCTACAAACACTCGGTAGGCTTTGGCTTGGGAGGGTTAGCATTAGTGTGCATCAATCGGCTGCACAAATGCGGAACTACCCTACCTACAGATATTGGCTAATGTTAGCCCTCTCACAGTTCATGCAGTAGTCGTAGTACAAACACGGGCCCCGGGAGCTTGTACCCTGACGCCACAAACGTTTCTTGTTGCGTATCCAATGGCGTTTCGTGCCGCATTGTCTGCCTCAACTTTGTCGTTAGTCTTTCAAACGAGCTCCTAGTGCCATGCTCGCATTCTTTGACTCGCCTACTAATACTTGCGTTTGACCAAGATACACGACAGCAATGCCGTGGCGGGGTTGCCTATAACTGAGTTTACTTATTGGCCAACATCTGAACTAACGCCAGATGAGTACACAGTGGCTGATGATGATGTGTAGAAAGTGATGATAAGTGGCCCGCCTCAAGCCCGCATTTTATGGCACGATGTAACAGCAAACGTGCACGATATGACAAGGTACCCTTGATTATTGCGAACGCCATTTCGGGAACAGGTGAGCTACTGTAGCCAAGAAATTCGGGGCCTGTAGTGATGGTATTGGCAATGTGGTAAGGGTGGAGTAGTACGTGGCTTTTCCTATTAGAGGATGTTGTCAATGAAATAGGGTAGTTGAGCGCTTTGAACCGCTTGTCCGGCTTGACGCCATGTGCCTGGTATGGAAAGCTATAGCTAGATTAATCTAGGAGGCTTGGCTTGTGACACATTCTTTCTTGAGCGCTCTTATCCATCGGAAACATTGCTTCTGCTTTTGCTTAAAAGGCAAGATCCGTCGACACGTGAGCGGTGAAAGGCCTTCATAAGCGGTGACTCGCGTGTTGTGCGGCTCCGAGAGGATTTCCGTGCATACAGACTGCTGTGAAAGGTGCTGCTGCATTGTTTCAGGCTCGTTTAGCGATGCTTATTGCAGAAGAAAAAGCATAGAGCGGCGATTACCGACGCATGGCGCTTGATAGTTATCGGCAGAGTAAAATGTAAAGTGTGTATACACGGATCCACAATATTTCATTGTCTTGCAGCAAGGCTGGAGACGTACCCAATCATTGACAGATCTTGAGCTAGAGCGGGGCATGTATGGGATGGAGTACTTGACACTTGACCGTACTTTTCTTACTCTTTCGTCAGCCCCATGGATACCTGGACTTCGCAAACGAGGACAGCCAATAACATCAGGATATGAAGTGGATAGCCGCACGGCGATCGTCCAGATCTCCCACGGGTCTGCAATTTGACGAGAAGGATTGCAGAAGCAAGGACATTCTATGGTATTCGAAGGTCATAGGCCGCTGTAACACAAAGGCGGAGAGAGCGAGCGCTAAGCGCCTGTGTTCCATGGCATCCGCCTACGCAAGGGGCATCAACTGTATGGCACTATGTACTTGCAATAGCTCTTTGTTAGAAGTTTGGTAATGCTTCCCGCTACTAAAATTGCGACTTATTGTGGATCACAACCGTTCGGTCGAGCCGCGGCCACGTAGTCGGTGGCGAGGTGACTCGAGCACTGCATGGAGTGCTGCGCGGAGATGAATGAGATTGGATGCCGAGTTGAAGTGCATGTACCAACCACGGTATGTCAGGGGAAACGAAAGCATGGTGTTGGTGATAGAGGGTGGAGAAAGACTGAAGCAATACTAGAATCCCACCACGGCGCCTAGCAGTCGCAAAGATCCATTGTCCCCATGGTGTAGTGTGTTGTGAGGCACCCTCCATGAGGAAATCAGTCTGATGCCGGTGTCCGTTGCATCACTGCGGCCAGATTGGGCAAAGCGCGCATCTCGCGATAGCATTGAGTGGCCGACTATGGGCAGACGCATGCAGATAACGCTCACGAGGTTGGGTGTGATGAAGATCTCTGGATGATACCACGGTGATGCGGGCAAGGACAAGAAGGAACGCCGGGGAATCTGCGGCCCGATCCCGTCGTCACATCGCACAAAAGTAAACCCCGCACGTACTCTACATCCCATCCGCCCACCTCCCGGCAAGAAAACAAATTGAAAAAGGAAGTACACCTGTCTGAGCCGTTTAGCCAGCTTCCTGGACTTTGTTCTACACCTTATGTGCATGACTTGGCATTGAACCTATAGCCGCTGGTACCCGCTCTAAATATCCAGCGACACGACTTCGTTTCCGCTCATGATAACTCCTTTCAGATTTTTGCATCACTGAGGAAGTCTTGGGAGTCTTCATGCCATGACGAAATAACTGCTTACAACACGTTGCTATGATTACCACATCACCTGCGGCTGCATAGGCGGACACTATACATGGCCACTATACCACATCAACCCTAGTAGTCACGTGCTGATTACTATTCTCCACTAGATGTTGCTGAAGTCACACAATTTCGGTATAGACTTCAGCTGAGTAATTAGTCATAATCGCCCAGGCGCAATGTAAGGATGCAGCGGCCGACGCAGCAATTAAGAATGGACAACACATGTGGTATAGTAGCATCGAACGAAGATACAGCTCCACCACAAGACCCAGTTGACGATAGTTGAAAATAGCACTCAAAATGAGATTGAACAAGTATAAAAAGCCATGATGAGAGTATCAAAATCATCATCTCACAGCACTATTCAGCTCACGCATCACCAACTCTCAAGCATTCTTTCAAGAAACAGCCTTTCCAACTCCCTCAAATCTCCCAGCTCTCTCATCCCCCCCATCCCCACCCAAAATGTCCATCCATAAAGTCCTCATCCTCGGCGCCACGGGCTCCGTCGGCGCCCCCATCCTCACCGCGCTCCTCTCTTCCCCCTCCCTTAGCATAACAATCGGCACACGCAGCAACTCCACCGCCACCTTCCCCCCGGGCGTCCCCGTGGAAACCATCTCCCCCGCCTTCACAACCGCAGAACTAACCACCCTCTTCACGGGCCGAGACGCCGTCGTCGTCGCCCTCTCCACCGCCCCCGTCACAGCCGGGGGCAAAGACGGCCTCGCCTTCCGCCTCATCGACGCCGCGCTGGCCGCGGGCGTAAAGCGCTTCATCCCAAGCGAATTCGGCGCGAACAACCTTGATCCAAGGGCAAGGGCGCTGGTACCAACATACGACATCAAGGGCGACATGCTATCCTACCTCATCGAGACCTGCGAAAAGAGCAAAGGAAAAATGACGTGGAGTAGCATCTGCTGCGGCAGCTGGCTGGACTGGGCGTTGGATCCATCTCTATCCGGGAACTTTCTGGGCATTGATGTCAAGGCGAGGAAGGCCACGGTGTGGGATTCCGGTAACAACAAGTTTGCGGTTACGTCTAGCAAGAATACGGGGAAAGCGGTTGCGCAGGTGCTGTTGAGGCCCGAGGAGACGGCGAATAAGCAGATTTTTCTGTGCGATTTTATGGTTAGTGCTAGGGAGATTGTGGCGGCGCTGGAGAGGGTGAGTGGGGAGGCGTTTGAGGTGGAGAGGGAGAGTCAAGCGGAGATTGAGGCGTTGAAGAAGAAGTATGAGGGTGGGGATGCAAGTGCCACGTTTGGGTTGCTAGCGCTGAGTTTCGGGGCGGATGTAGATGTGGGCTATGATTTCCCGGCTGAGCATCAGGTGTGGAATGAAAAGTTGGAGTTGCCCAAGGTTACGCTGGAGGAGTTGGTGGAGGAGGCTGTGGAGTTGGCGAGGAGGTCGTAGGGGACGAAGTGGAAAAGATAGACATGACCTAATGAATATGAATGGAACTTTTGAATTCCCTCCAGTAACCGTACAACGCCATGCGATTAAATACTGTAGTCTGTAAATATCCAAGCGCCTGTAACACCAAACCTGGCTAAAAGACAAACAAAGCATCACCTATCGTACACACACTACTCTCCTTTTCATAAGAATCAACCTCACGGCTTAAACACAACCGGACTCTTCGGCGGCGTCTCCACCCCCACCGAATCCGCCCTCTTCCGCACCATTGTCGTTCCAGTCCCAGGCACACTATTATCATACTCGTACCACACGCCCTTAACCCTCCGATTCAGCTTCCGTGGCGGCGGGCTAATCCGACTTGCCAGCACCCCACTCGACGTCGTCGACCCCGCCGAGTGCAAACTCGCGGCATCAGACCCAACCATGCTATGATTGTTATGCGTGAAGGACTCGAAACTCAGCATCATGGACTGGCACGTCTGCGCGAGATCTGATTGCGCTTTTGCTAGGGAATTGACGTGGGATAACGTCGATGTGAGGAGATCTTTCGCTTCGTTCTGAGCTTTTTGGCTGCGGTCTTGAGCTTGGCGCGTTGATTCTTGCGATTCGAAGTGTTTGTTGGATAAGGCGATGTAGTGGGATGCGTTTTGGTCGACGAGAGATTGGAGTTTGAGTTGGGAGGCGGAAATTGCCTTTATTTGGATGCTGTTTGATTCGTTGATTTCTTGCATTGCTTGTAGGCCGGTTGATTGGGCGACGGAGAGGGCGTGGACTTGTTCGGCGTTCGTTTCGACAATGTTGGCGAGGCGGGTGAGGCTTTCTGCAAGGCTGTCGAGGGCGGTGGTGTTTGGCTTGTCTTCAGATGGGGGAGGAGAAGAGGGTGGAAGGGCGAGGGTGCCGTTGGCGTGTTGGATGGGGAGGACGACGGGGGAACATGGGGGGCTGTCTTGGGAGGAGTAGAACCATTTGTTGCGGAGGTCAAAGAATTTTAGGTCGTCTTGTATGAGTTCCATGTCTTCGCTGCGCATGATAAAGAATTGGGGGCTCGGGCGGCGGGCGGACGAAGGGTAGTTTTGCTTGACGAGGTGCCACCATTGGGAGCATACGGCAGCCGAGGCGAATGTGAGGATGTAGGGAGGCGAGGATGGGTAGTCGCTCTGTGGGGTCTGTCAGTCTGAATATTCAGGTGCAGATTGTCGCAAAGAGTATAGCAAACGCTACTTACCCGCTTCGCATAGGCGTAGAAGAGAGTCTCGCCTTCCTCTGCCTCTACCTTTCTCTCTTCAGGAGGACGGCTATCACTTGCCTTGCGTGGCGACATGGAGGCAGTGGCCAGTGGAGACTCTGTATTCATCATCAAGCCAGCTGCGAGCGAGATGCTAGGTCTCTTGCGTGTGTGCTGCTGGGATCTTCGCTCTGGCGACGTCTGTCGTCGACTGTGTATACGTCTTTCAAAATTCGAGGTGGTTGTTTGTTCAAATAGGGACTTGGATGAGTCCATAAGAGCAGTAAAGTCGGGCATGCTTTGTGGTCGCGACATGTCTGCGGTTGGTGCTAGTGGAAGGATGTCTGGGTCTGGGTCGGGAATGTAGTGGCAGCAAAAGACGTCGTCAAAGTTATTGGCCAAATGACACCTGAACGACATAAAGCTTCATGAGTTGTCGGCTGCTGTAGTTGCTAAAGATAACAACATCCGGACAAGGGTTGGTGAACAGTGGTAGTGAGTGTGTGGGAAGTGCGGGAACTGGTCCTCATCCTTGTCAATGACCTCACGGTAGCAGGGGATGCTTGGACGTGCATGCGCCATTGAGTGTTTTGGACTAGCGAAAGGCGGACCATCACTCTATCAAGTATCTCATTGAACAATGGCTCCCAGGAAAAGAATCGCGTTGCGCGAGGCTTTGCCACCTCCTCGACGCCAATTGATGCAGATACAGCTGTTGTCCATCCATTCGACAGTCGCCGTCTCATGGCGCGAATGCAGGGGGACGGGTTGCACATTGGAAACGCGAGGTTCAGGGGCGCACGAACGGCCCTAGCCGTAGAAATGAATTTGCATCTGTGTGGCTACGCCATGCTGGCCTGTTGTTTGAGAAGTTCGCGTACGCGTCGGTGGCGATGACGGTTGCAAGAGTTTCGGCTTCCAGGGTAGAGTGGAGATGCGAGCGGGGAATGACGAGAGAGCACGTGCCTGGCGTCTTCACGACAAGGCCCTGGGCCATTACCGTTAATATGCTATGCAGATATCGACAGGATTCCACGACCATTTCTTGCCAGCACTCATGGTTTTTGTTTTTAGTGACAACCGCTGGCTGCATTGGTGTGTGCGTCATAGTTTCTTTTTCTGAAGCACATTCCGCTCAGCAAAACAACGACTTCATTGGGCAATGCCGCACAACGGGGACTGCAGCGCGGCCGAGTGCTCCTTGTCATCTGCTCATTTGGTTTCTAAAAGCAAAATATTCTTCGTCTATCGGCACAGCGGCAAGGCAAGACGTTTTAATGGGCACACGGGTATCAGATGTATGTATGTATGTGTGTATTTGTTGGTGCAGCAGGACTGGTGTTCCGAATGCAAGTGTCGATTCTCGGTAGACACCCGAAGAGCAAACCAGCGATGAGTTCGATGTTGCGATATCTGCCGTCGACTGCATGCCACTGAATCACCCCTCCTTCACGGCCTATATCACCGAACCATTTCCCCCTCACCTGATATGCCGTTGAACCGTACCTCCATCATTGAGTACGTCACCGAATCATGACCCTCCACTCACTAGACCACCAGATAATCATCCTTCACCTGCTGTCAATATGTCATGTACACCTCCTTCTGAATGCCCATCCCCTTTGCCAGTCGGAACAACACTCCCCGTCACAGGGGTGTCTCAATGACCAAGAGTACACCCAGAAAATTGCGCCCAAATGAAAGAAACCCCCCTTTTCGTACTTGCCATTCATGTGCAGTGCGTGCATGACGGAATCCAGGACGCAAAGAATCTGCGGCGCGAGAAACCCGGCCCCTGCTCCTACTCTTCAACCCCCACCTTGACCTCGAAATGTTCCATGTTGTCAAAGCCGTGCTGGGCCAGCCAATTATTAGGGATGACAGACTCGAAATCTGTCATCCAGGCTTCGGCCTTCTCCCTCCGGAAGATGAGGTGTATGTACGGCCTTGATACCACTGGTACACGGAATATCTGGACATTGGGCGGGTAGACGCCATTTGCGGGGAGTATAGGAATGGAAATGGCGAGGAGTTTTGGAGGGATGACCCATCCTGGTGCTGCGACATATATTGTCATCGGAACGCGATGGACACGCACTGAAGCAAGAGACCTGCAGCGCAGGATCTCTTCCCAGCGCTCGTTCGTCTCGGTGTAAGAGTAATCCCTTCGGATTTGATGGCCAAGGAGGCGGTAGCTGTAATACAGTTAGCACATATGTTACTTGCAAAGGCCTGGTTAGGTTGCATAGTGTATGCGACTTACAGATCCTTTATCTCTACATCGCTCTGCCATTGGTAGCCACCCGTGGAGTACCGACTCGTCACAAAGCGACCGAATCCCACCTGCAGTGAGAAACCGTTCATCAAAATCTCAAGCAGAGGTAGCACTTCGATGCCCCTAGGGCCACGTTCTTCTTTGATGGCCGTATCGCGAACTGCGACCGTGATATTGCCGACGAAAGACAGGGTCGAGTCCCGTTCGCCTGAAGGACCGATTGTGGCAAGCTCTCTCGTGGCAGAGGCATAGAAGGCGTTGACATAACCGGGTATGTTGGTTAGGTCAACGCCGATCTCCTGGTTGATAAAGTAGAGAGGGCGAAACTCCCACCTGAGCTGCCGGCTCGCCTGCGTCAAACCCCAGAATGGACGGCTGGTCTCTCGAGGAATAATCTCGGTTTCGGGGCCATTGGTGATGCTGCTATCGCTTGACAGTCTCTCGTCATACTCCTGGGCAGTGATGTCTGAGGGGAGGGTGCGGCTTCGGTCAAGCCGGGTACGAGGACGTAGAGAGGCGATGCGTGGCCGGTGAACAAGTACAAGTTGTGTCTCCTCGACACACATGTACTCGTAGATTCTGTTCCGGATCTCTGTTACTGGTTAGCTTAGATTGCTTTCGCCGTTATAATCAGTAGTACCTACCTCCAGGGAGATCCAGGAAACGGAAGGATTTTGCACCTTCACGTTTGCGAGCCTCAGTTGGCTCGGACGTCTCCGTACCCGCGGTGGAAGCTTGGCGTGTTGTGCTTCTCCTGAATGAACGCTTCTGGATGCCGACCGTAGAGCCGCGGCGAGGAGTTGAGGTAGAGCGAGGAGTCGAGGCAGAGCGAGTTCGTCTTCCCTTGTCAATAGGGTTCACTTCATGCTTACCAGAGCTCCCATTTCATACAAAAAAGAATATAAAAACAATAACAACAACAACAAGGTTGAACGAACGATATCAAAACAGCATCAACTACCACAACAACGGAAACACGAAGGAATCAATACTAAAACTACAACAAGGGGCGGGGGGTACCTACGCCATGTTGATACGTGTCGGTCCTTTGCTGTCACTTGACAGGACGTGAAGTGTAGTCGATAGTGTGTTATAAAAGGGAGCTGACTGCGCGAGTTGCGTCTGGACCAGATAGCTGGAATCTTTTCTCTTGAAAAGATACTTTTCAGCTTGATCAGGAGCTTCTTTGGGACTATCAGCCCCCAATTGTGAGTAGGGAAAGGATAAGAACAGTGGAGCGAGCGAAGATACATATACCCCTGAGAAGCCACTGACAAGCAGAGGTGAGCGAGAAACTTTTGCGGCTGGACAAACGCCGGTGGTAGATGAACTCGCAGTGATCAAGTGTCGAGATGACCGTGCTTTCACGGTAAAATGGGCATGTCTCCTGGTGAGTGGCGAAGATGTTGGTTTCTACCAGCTTTATTGTGGATATTAAATCCGTACTATTCAGTGAGAAGCGGGCCAACTCATTGGATCACTTCGTTCTATCGACAGCCAAAGTAGTAACTGTCAATCTGGAGGATCGCAGTTATGCTATGTTGACTGCTGTAGCACTGAGGTTTTTCGACATGGAAGCAGCATCTCGAGAGGTTTTAGCTAAAGCGAACACAAAGGCCTACTCCCTAGTTCCGTCCCTCTTCTCCAACATCCAACACTTAGTCGTCGGCAAAACCCTCGTCTTCAAGCACGAAATAGGCTCTAGCACCGTGGCCAAGGACACCACGATTCTTTGGATTGTTCGCTCTCATACCTCGCCTGGCGGGGCAAAGAGGTTAGGTTAACTCCGCACTGCCTCAAGAACGTCAGCGTGAATAGCTTCGGAGGGGAGGTCTGGCTTCGCGTCGGCGTCGGTACGTGGGTGTATGGCCTGGGGAATCCTATGGACTATCGTCCAAACGGTAATAGTGAATACTATCCGAGAGTAGCGTTCAAGGAGCACGTTTGTCGCATTTTGGACGTTATATGTCTTCACTACATTCACTGAGTGTCGAAGTAGATACCAAAGCGTATACACTGTATCCCTAACCCTGTCAGAAACCACTGTTGCCACGTGGGTTTCATTAAGGGCCATGTACCAAATACCAAAACTTCAACTCATAAACTCATAAATTCATCTCTAAGTCTTCGTTTCGTATGCCTTGGGCTTATGGTAGTACGTATCCACCATCAATAATACAATCGCTTCCCGTCATATAACTCGACGCATCACTCGCCAGATACAAAAACAGTCCCTTGATCTCCTTGACATTGCCCTGTCGTCCAAGAGGAATCATGCGCAGTCCTTCGTTGATAACCAGCGGACCCGCACCCATCTTTGTGTCGAAGAATCCCGGGCTAACAATATTTACCCGTGCAAACTCCCTCCACTCGCGTGCCAGCGACTTGCCCAGATGCGATACGAAAGCTTTTGTGCCGTTGTAAATTGGCTGGTCAACGGGTACATTGACAATGTGGGCCGAAATACTCGATGTGAGGATCAAGTTGCCGAATCCCTGCTTCTTGAATACCTCGCCTGCGTACTTGGCGCAGTAGACTGGTCCGTCGACGTTGACACGCATGAGGTTGTGGTAGGACTCTAGTGTTTGGTCGAGCAGCGGCTTGCTATCTCCTGTGCCTGCGTTTGCGACGAAGCAGTCGATGCGGCCAAAGTCCTCGACAACTTGCTTGACGGCTTTTTCTACGGCGGCGGCATCGGTCTGGTCGACGCTGTACGCTTTTGTCTTGACTCCGTGCTCTTTTGCTAGGTTCTCCGCGCGCTCAACGGCTTTGCTGTTGGAATTGTACCACAGGGCTACGTTGCCTCCCGCTTCGGCCATGGCATCTGCGACGGCACCGCCAATGCCCTCGGCTGCTCCATTGACGACAATGGTCTTGCCCTTCATGCTGAATTGTTCCAGCACATTGTAAGGAGTATCAGGCACCGGCTTGGGAAAGCCAGCGCGTGGCGTTTGACATTCTTCCACTAACATGGACATGTTGGCGGTATTGATATGGTGTAAGGCTTAGGTGAGAATTAGGGCTATTCCAAGTGAGGTGCCTGTGGGAGGGGTGTTAAGTGCCGAGATATGCGGTTGACGTGCAAGGCTTATATACATTTTTCTGAAATCCGGAAGAAATACCATTTCCAACGAATACGACAGACCATACTTGCCCCACGATCCCCAATGCTGGGTATGTCTGCGTCACGGGTAGGTGTTGTGGGGCAGACCTGGAGGACTGTCGTCCGGGGACTCGTTCTCATACGGTCCGATCTCTATTCCAAGACTAGACCGCACCTCGGCTAACCTTCCTTTGCCACAGGCCCGGCTTACTGAAAACGATGCTGTCGTGCACTCTGGCACTACATCCATCTCCATCGAGGCGCATGAGATATGGAGCTTCGGGCAAAATGCCGCTTGAATTAAAGTTCTAATGTTTTACTCGATGTACAAGAAGAGAAAGGTTGACGCTTTTAAACACCTTTACTGTTCCTTGCTCTTCTCCTGGTGCAGTCCCCCGTTTTCGCCATTCAGACTCTCCCTTTCTGTCATCTCTCCACTCTCAGCCGCTTCCGATCCTTTGCTCTCCTCGTCTCTCTTCTTGTCCTGCACGATATCCGGCGCCGGTGCAAACTTTCTCTTGCCTCGGATCTTCTTCCCGTACACGTAAAAGAATACAGGCATAGGTACCAATACAGCGGCTACACATCCAAGCAATGTGCTTGCCCACTCAATTCCCATGCCCTCAAACATGAATGTAGCGAAAAGAGGAAATACGCCTCCAAAAATGGAGCGCATGAACGTGTTTGCGGCAATGGCGGAAGCGGCGAACATGAGATAAGCATCCACAATGTAGTTGAGCAAAGAGAGGAAAATAGAAAAGATTCCAAATCCAGTAAAGAGACCAGAGAGAACAGGAACAATCCAGTGGACATTTCCAGTGTAACCCGACCAGCCAAACCAGAATAGACCAGCTGTTGTGCGTTAGCAGGGGCCAACCGAAATCTTGTTAGACAACCACGTACCAGAAAAGAGAACACCGCCAACCATGGCAATTGGTAAACGCCACTCTGGGACTGGAATATTGTTGTTTGCCGCCAGCTTCTTGGCGTATCGTGGGTTGTCACATACGACAACGATGAAAGCTATGACTTCACCAGCAACCAGACCAAAGTAGGCGAGACCGCCGATGCCGGCACTCCATCCATACACACGTTGGAAGACGAAAGCATAGGCAGTCAGGAAGAGGTATAGTAGGCCATCTGGTAGAATTAGCATGCCGTCCTGAAGCGAAGAAACACAATTCTTGGACTTACAAATAAAGCTCATGTAAATGGTAATGAGTAAGACGATGGGCTCTGTGAACAAGATACGCATGGGCCTGCTGACGTTCTTAATAATCAGCTCCTTAAAGTCAACCTCAATTTCCTCTTGCTTTGCGTGTATACCCCAGTTCTTTGTTCGACGTCGGAGCTCGCTTGCCTTGTTGATAAGCACTACGGGTGGATACGTCTCTTCCATGAAGAACAATAGTAACCCAAACGCCAGGAATCCCATGAAACTGGAAACGTATTCGGTCCACCTCCATCCAAGGTAGCTTTCCGTGATGAAGCCACCGATAAAAGGGGCAAGCAAAGGTCCCATGAAAACCGTGGCAGAAAAGACGGCGACAGCTAGACCACGGAGCCGGTTGTCAAACATGTCGGCGAAGACAGCTGCGACAATGGCTAATGGTGATGATCCAAAGAGACCAGCGAAAAAACGGGAAATCATAATGGTTTGGAGATCTTTGGCTACGGCGACAGCGATGCTGAAGATGGCGAATCCAAGGGCGGCGATGATGAGAGGGGGTTTTCGGCCATAGAGCTCGGAGAAGGGTGCCCACATCTGCAGCTTGTCAGTACATTATGTCTTTGGTTGGGTGGCGTGGACATGTACACACCAAAGGTCCAAAGGCATATCCAAAGACGAACAAACTCGTGCCCAGCGTGCCTACAACGTTTGCTACACCAAACTGGCGAGAGACGGGAATTGTTGCAGCTGAAAAGATGCTGGAGCCCATGGTCGCAGCGAGCGCATCAAAAGCCAGCATAGCACCGATTCCTAGCTTCTTCTTCATAGGCCAATTTTGCGGGTGTAGTGGGTCATCTACGCCATCAAACTCGACAACATATTCTTCCCTGTCGGGCAGAGGCGGAGGAAACGGCTTGCCAGCTCCAAGGTTAGGCAGAGGCTTCTCGGTACGGCGTCGTGTTAGGGTTCTGGACAGACGTGAATCGGACGGCGAGGCTCCAACGGTGCCGGCATGCTGGCTGCGATGTGTTTCTATGCGGCGGATTGCTTCAGGATGACGTTCGGTGGGGTGCAGGGTGAGGTAGTTTGCGCTCGAGGTTTGCGAGTTGACAGTCGGTCGGCGGTCGCGTGCAGGCGTCGAATGTGCGGTTCGGATTTCCTCGAGACGGGCGCTGTGTGTCGAGGCTGAGCTTGCAGAACTCGTAGTCGAGGTAGAGGATGTGCTGTGGCGTGACAGAGGCGATGCGACTTCCTCGACTTCCTCTCTCACGGGCGTTGCTTCTTCCTCGCGTGGGACTGGCGATTCGCTCGCTCTGCGCTCTCCACGCTCATGGGCTGCGATGTTGCGTTCACGCTCAGCAAGAGTCTGATCGTGCATATGGCGCTGGTGGTACTGCTCGCGAAACTGGCGATTGGGATCCCATGTTGAATAGACTTTTGGGTTCGCATTGGCCTCGTTGCGCAGAACCTTGTAGTCTTCCTCCTGCATGGTGGTGGCACACTTGTCTCTGGTCCAAGTCTGGTAGCAGTTTTTCGTGGTGGTCGAATGCGAGAAAGAAAACAATCTTGGGCAGCCCGAGGCTAGCCACTCAATGCCGAAAGTTCGAGCCTGACGTCGGGCGATCGTAGTGGAGCTGGTGGATCTTGCCTACTAGTACGCGACGGGAGGGCTGTTTATTAGTCTCGTCGTATATCCGGGAGTTGGGCATGGCTGGTGTCGCAACTTGACGGCCCTATTATTGCAGCCGGCCATTGGAAAAAGAGGTGCTCCATATACTCGAGCATGTCGCTCTGGGCCCGACAGTGCCGTCGATCTAGCCATGACCATTGCTGTGTCACCACCAAAACGAGCAGAAAAAGTTTGGGTTCGGGTATGGAAGTGTGGCTGAGTAAGCGATAAGTGGCTGACCGAGCGCAGGCGGTGAGGCGCGGCCGAAGTTTTTTGGTGGGCAGAACGGGCGCAACGGGAACAAATCTTTGCCGGGCACATACGTCACTCCACCAACATGCTTGGTAAGCCCCTCAACACCAAAGGCGCTGCCGTCACTGTGCATCTGCGCCTATCGTTGATTCGGCTTGCAGTCGGGGGAGAGATTACGAAGCATTCCGTCTTCTCTTTTGCATGCATGTAAGTGCGTGTACACAAGTATTGAGTACACGAGCCTTCTAACAACCGCCGAACAGATCCACAGGTCCTCGGAACACCCCTTGTGCAACATGGCCCAATCACAACGCCCCACCCGTCATTAATAACAACGCTGCACAGACCATGCACTCACAGCCCTTCTTATTTTATTCTACATTCACTCGGCCAAGCTAGGCACATACATATCACATACCTACTGTACTACCTACACCTAGTCTTAGTACTGTAATAAGGCCCCAAGCAGCCTGGACTATGTAGTCGCCGACCTACCCATCGTTCAACAGCATCCCGCACAAAGGTGCATCACACACCCCCACCGCATCAAGTAGAGTACACGGCTGCCCACGCATGTTGAAAACATGTTCTTTTCCCACTGTGCTACCATGATGCCTGCACGACCGGGACTATTACTACGGGCAGTTCTGGCAATGTGTTAGAAGAGCAACGGGGTCACTAACGCCTTCTCCACATCCACTGCCCCTTTTTATCCGCTCAGGCGAAAACGAAACCTGTCACCGAGGTCCGCAGCCTGTTAACAATACTACATGCTCTTATATGTAGTCCTTTTTCTTTTGTGCCTCGCAAGACTGTACTTTTGGCACTCGGTCCACGCCGGAAAGGTTGCCGTTCGCCCCCGCGCTGCACGGCAGCCACCGATATCGATCGAATCCTTCAGTGTGAGCAGATGGGGCGAGATGCATTGCCATCGTACAGCAGTCGTCACCTCCGGCTTGTGATGCGACGCTACACATACTAGGTGTACTGCCCGTTGGCATCATAGCCAGAGCGGAGTCTCGCCGCCGCCTCTTATACGGCAGAGCAAAGTCTCGTGGTTTCAATTCACTGCGAACCTGCGACATGTGCTAGGGCCAGCAACGCTTCTATACCAAAAGGATACATGTATTTTGCCCCATAAACGGTTCTAGCAGCGGATAGCTACATCCGTCGCTTTGGCGCATTTGCCCAGTTCATGTCGGTAGGCCGCTGTCAGATGCACGCTAGTCAACGGCGCTCCGGCATGTTTCAGCAAAAGCAAACATGAACGAGCAAGCCCATACCCTTTGCAAAAGTTCCTGCAGCACCAAGAGCCACACCTGACCCGACGATTCCAAGGCTTGCTTTGATGGCTGCCATCGAAACGTCATAAGTCATGTTGTATATGTCAGAATGCTGGCCAGTCGACGCGTATTCTGCCTCTTCCGCTGGAATGCTAGCCATCCGGCCCTCTGAGGCGTCTCACGTATATGTGAATATCCCAGACTCTAACCTCCTTCTATACTCCAGACTGTGAAGAAGAAAAAAAGTTCAGTCACCCATGTATGAGCGGCATGTAACGCGCGGCTTCTTCCGATGGCAATAATGTACTCTCAAGACGAACCGTCCACCAGCACATCTCAACCTGCATCACCATGAGCACACTCTGTTTGGCAGAGTACAGATATCCAGACCAGACAACAAACCAACCACGTCAACAATCGCATGACTTTAATACTACTAAACATTCGAAACATCCTTTGCAACACAGCCGTCACTTTGACTTCGCCTCCCACCCTCCCCCCACTTTCCCAACCCACGCCGCTCGCTTGTCAAGCCCACTGCAGTTAGGCCCCTGTCACAACGAACGCCGGGACGCCTGGACGTCTAGACGTAATTAACGGCAGCTTCTCTTTACTTTTTCTTGCTTCAGGTTTGCAAACCCGGTAAAAGAATTCCTTTCGTGGCAATTGCTGCGCAGATTGCATCAATCGGATTCGTACCTCTCTGCAGTGCATAATCATACATGCATTCCAGCCCGCTCATTTCCGCCACTCTGCCTAAAGAGTCACATTTTGTGGGCCAAGAGCTGTCACTGTAGCATCTGTCCTTTAGGGGTCCCCGATCTGGATGCAGGTGCATACATATAGACCGGCAGCCGGGGATAATAGATCTGGTATATGTATGTCCCGCGAACGGTGCAGTGACGTTTCCGGTCTGGGCAGCCCACACGCCCGCAATGGTTCGAGCAACAATTGATTTCATTCAGCGCTTGGCACTACCTCGGGCAAATCGTCGACCAGGACCACACTGGCGGGAGCGTCCGATTTCCGCCTTTTGGATCCATATCAGCCCCGCTTGCGCCGCTGCCGGCTTCCAAATCCTGACGCTCAATGGGTCTTTCCAGATTGGAAAACTCTCAAACATGGCGCACTGACTCAAAACCCTCATGGGGAGAGAAACATGTAGATGGCAGAGGCTATTTCAGTGCCTTTGCGGGTTGAGAACCTACATCCTTTTACCCAAACCACGGTGGAAATCTACTGTGTAAAAAGTAATAATGCGTCAGCAACTTCGACAAATGAAGAAAATCACGCCCGTTCATCTCCACTGTTGTCCTTGTTTTTTCACCGATCAATCGGACGAGAAATCTCTTCGGCACGTTAAGCACATCCGTCAAAACGGACATGTCAGAGGTCGGCGACGAATGACATGCCCCTGTCGACTAAGTAGAAATCCCCATGCGAACCCGAGCCCTGAGCGACGTGTAGCTTACATGGGATCTCCGCGTTGCGGGCTAGTGGATGCAAGTGCCTCCAAAGCTGGCAATTCTCTCGAGTACGGGTCATGCGGGATACTACCATGGTGGTTAACTCAATGGTCCTATGCATTGGTTGGGCCCTTTATTTTCTTTTTTTGTACTCCATCCACTTTTCCAAAGCCCTAGTCAAGCTGTTACGACGCCCCGTCCCTTACTTACTCAGAACGTCTTGGCTTGCGAGAGCCACCAGGCACATATGGGAGGCATGCCTTCACTAAAAAAAAACGTCACTGACCTTTGTTACACCTCAAACATCTCAAGCATAGCAGAGCATCTTTTCTTTCTTTTCATAATGCCTGGTGGACTTTACCCTCCTCTGGAGGTCTCACAGAGCTGGCCAGCCCCCAACTATGAGAACCCAGAGCTGCGATCAGACGCCATCATCATACTGGCCTATGTCCTAGGACCACTCAGTGTGTGCTTGTGTCTCATCAGGCTATGGGTCAGGATATACCACCAGAAGAGTGCAGGAGCGGACGATTGGCTGATGCTGGCATCTATAGTCAGTTCCATTAACCCAATCACTCTCCTATGCTGACTGTTATAGCCACCTACAATTGCTTTGACAGCTCTGTATCCCCTTGGTAAGTTGGATATTCCTGTTGGGAAAAAAATACATCTAACACATGTTAGCGACCAAGCAGGCTTTTGACAGACACGTCTGGGATTTGGACGCTTATACCGACCCACAGCGCGTGGTCATTGCCAGAAAATACGTCTTGGCGACCGAGACTATCTTTTGCGTCGCCACTGGGCTGGTCAAGGTGTCTATCCTCTTGTTCTACCGCCGACTGTCATCTCGTGTGGTATCACGGGGGTTTTTCTGGACCACCTGGATTGCGATTGTATTCATCGCTGCCTACAGCATCGCTTTGACGATTGCTCCTATTGTCGGCTGCCAACCGGTAGAGGCATTTTGGGAGCAGTTCAACCCAATCAAAAAACTGCAAGGGTATGAGTTCCATTGCTTTGATGAAGGTGCCGACGTCCTCGCTGCCAGTATCATCTCGGCAACGCAAGATCTTCTCACTGCTATCCTACCTACATTCCTGTACTGGAACCTCCAGATCCCCCTGCGACAGAAATTGGCATTGTTCGGCATCTTTGCCATGGGTTACGGAGTCGTTGCGCTGGGTGCGCTACGTGCCTACTACAGCTGGCACGCCTTTTACAACACTTACGATATCACATGGGCCACGTACGACCTTTTCCTCACCTCTCTCCTCGAGCTACACATTGGTTGCTTGTGCGCCAATGCCCCAGCTCTCAAGGTCTTCTTCAAGCATTTCTTCCAGGAGAAGCTCACATCAAGATCACGAACCAAGACGCCGGCCGACTCCAAAGACCGTGCTAGTCCAAACGGCTCATCGAAGCCAAGCAAGTCTAGCTTATGGAGCAAGATAAGCTCTGTACTGGAGACCGGAAACGAAAGCGGGATGCGTAGTACAAGAGGATACCTTGACTCTCATGCCGGTATGACGGTGGACTCTCACGGTGGGGTGTTTGTCCGAAAAGACATGCAGGTTCATCACTCTCCAGCAAGCAGCGTGCCTGAAAGCCCTGCTGGAAGACCTGTTTCATCTATGACCAACGATAACATCGTCGATCACTACTACGACGATATTGAACTTGGTCTTTACACCACACGCAATTCCGGTACATCAAGCGTATACTCGCCAAGGAGCTTTGACAACGCCGCTCCCAGTGCTATCCCACCGCTCCCCACATCACCAGCATCTGTTTCTCATGAGCCTTTGACAGCACACCCTGTTTCTCCCATTGTCGCGGAACCTCCTAAGAGTCCGGTACTTCCAGTGCCGGCAGTAGAAAACCCGACATTTCAGAGGGCTCCTACGCCACTTCCATCACGGGCTCCAAGCCACCATCGACCAAGCTGGCAGACTTGGTGATGACGACGCATGCAGCGCATGCCCTGTTCTACGAATATGTGTTATGCCACTAGTGCAATGTTATCTTCCTTCCTGCCCAAACTCTCATCTCTCATCCGGAGTTTTATGTCTACGAAACGCCTTCCATGGGGACTGGCCACCAGCACCGGTTGTTGTCACAATGATTTCCCTCGTTTGTATCAATCTAGGCTGGCTCTTTGATCTTTCTCTTCATATGGGGTACCATTGGTGGGCATTTGTTCTGTTTAGTTTTCTTCTTTTTTCGTTTCTTCCTGTTCTATACCAAGTGACCCGTCTCGCTCCTTCGCTCAAAAGCATGTTTTTTTTATGTAGTAATGAAAGTCATATTATCTTGCTCGAAGGTCATGAGTTGTGGGTGCAGAATGGCGCCGCTTTCTTCACTGTGAACTCTCTGGTAAAACGCAAAACAAGAGAAAGAGAACAGTATGACCAATTCAAAATAGGAAGGTGCGTATCTTGTCAATCACGCCCTTTCAATAATCAAATAATGACATTTCTCTATCTAGAACAAGAAAAAAACCCTCTTCGATGACTCATACTACAAAACCCTCCGAACATCCTCTCCTCAATCAAACCATAATGGCATCATCACCAACCACGCCCTCCCTCTCCCTCCTCCTCCAACCAACCCTCTACACCTCCCCAACCATAAAATCCACCCCCCACCTCTCCACCGCCCTAACGTCCCTCATAAACTCCGCCTTCTACCGCTCCGCATCTTCAAATGCCAACTGGAACACTTCGATCCCACGCTTTGACTCGGCAGACGAGCTGTGTAAGATGGTAGGGGATGAAGGAAGTGTGATTGCCGTCTTGTATTCTTCTCGCGCCAAAACCAAAGCGGAAGAGTCCAGGGAGAAAGACGATGGGGGAGAGGAGGAGGAGGAGGAAGAAGAAGGGGAGAGAGAAATAGTAGCTTGTGCAGCAGCCATACCCTGGAAGGGCGGTTGGCACCGCGAGGGTTCCTGTACGGAAAGCGGGTGGGAGGTTAAAACGGTGTGTGTGGCTGAGGGATATGTGGGCAGGGGACTTGCGAGTCGGCTGGTAGAGTTTCTGGGGGGTTATTTGTGTGCTCGGCGGAAGCTGGAGGAGAAGGAGGAGGGCAAGGTGACGCTCTGGCTCCTCGTCGCCGACGACCTCAACGGCGCATACTGGCGGCGCCGCGGCTGGGAAGAAGTCCGGCGGAGGAGGGAGGGGAAGGGGGTGTGGGGGTGTAAGGGGGAGTTTGACATGGTTGTTTTGAGAAGGGAGTTTCCAATTTAATACTATAACGTAGAATTTGGGGGTTGGGGGGGAGGGGGGATGTTTTTTTTTCCAAGCAAGGTATAGAAACTAGGGGTTTGTTACGAGAATAGAAGGCGGCATCTAACTCGCGAATACCAGGCATACATAGAGAGACAGACAGAGAGAGAGAAGACTACGCAAACTTACACTATGCAACTAACAAGTTTTTCCCCCCCCCCCTCCCTCCCCGTCGCCTTAATCTTCACAAATCCAGTCGGTTCCGTCGTT